ATGATGTTATGGATGACTTACTCTGAGACGTCCGCTTCGAAACCGCATCCTCGTGATCCTGAGGTGAAAATGAGCTTCACCGCCCTCCTTTACAGATTATGGGAAAATGCTTGATTGAACATGATAAGCCTTCAATTTCTTAGAAAAACGTAAACAAATCAATAAATTGACAGAAGGACCCAACAAACGCCGCAAAAGGAGCCTATCATCTGCGCAAGAGTCGAAAACATATGTGTGCAAAGTTTCAGCTGAATCGGTTGAGCGGCGCGTTTCTATAACGCACATACCCTCCAACTGACAGTTTTTGAGTTATATATTAGGTCGTTCCGAAAGTAATGTCGTTTTTTTTTTCAAACGTACGCCACATTTCATGGAACAAAGATGTGTAAGAGATTCTGGAAGCATTTGATGCAGCATTTCATTCTCTTTCTAATGGTTATATAATTACCGCACAAAATTGAATAACCTCTGGGAAAATTACCGGAATCTGCGACCCAAGCTTTTTGAGAAGGTCAAGTTTCACAATTTTTCCAAATTTTTATAACAACCCCCGAAAGGAGTCCAAGTTATGTATGGATAGAGCAAACCCTACGGAAAACAACACAACTTTTTCCTATTTTTCAGAGCTCGTCATAATTACTGTATAGATTTTTTGATGAAACCACCGAATTTTAGCAGGCTCGTCTCAGACACGAATGCATCAAACACCAAGAAATCGTCGGATTTTGAATCTTACAAAAATGGATTGTGGTTTTACACTAATTTTACAAAGCAAATGAGCGTTTACCGCTTCAGATTAGCAACTTTCGAAAATTCCGGGTACAGCCGGAGGCACCCTGGAAAACCTGAATTATGATGATTTTATCTCGGAAAACTTGATGAATCGGAAACCAAAAACAACTGGTAAAAAGAGAAGAAAAAGCTGCGTCGAATGACACCCGAGTTGCTTGCCGGTTGATGTTCTGTGAGGTTTGAGTTAACCAAATATGGAATTTGATGGCATTTTAAAACTGATTTCAGAAACTCTAAAAAGCAAGCTAAGGAAAAGAAAAAAATTACTCTGTGTCCTATAGGGTTTGCTCTATCTACATGCCACTTGTACTTGTTCGGAGAATAGTTACAAAAATTTTAAAAAATTGCCAAACTTGACCATGGCAGAAAGCATGAGTTGCAGATTTTGTAGATTTTTCGCAAGCTCTATGAAAATTATGCAATGAAATTATAACCTTTAGAAAGAGGATGAAATGCTGCATCGAATGCTCCTAAGTCTTCTTGAAAAGCTTGATTCCATGAAATGTGGCGTTCATTTGAAAAAAGCGACATTACTTTCGGAACGACCTAATATATATATATATCAGTGGCGTACCGAGGGGGGGGGGCGAGGGAGGGGGCGCGCGCCCCCCCCCCCCCCCGAGAATGGGTCGCGAAATTTTTGAAAGTTACTTATAAGGGTTGTAAAAATGTGCAAATGACTTGTTTTTGTAAATAATTAAAATAATTTTTAAAAATTTTTAAAAATTCAAATTAGCCTTGTAAAAAAATTTTTTTCGGGGGCGTGGCTAACGCCACGCCCCCTTTTTCCAGATTTTAGGGGTTGGGGACCCGCAAAAATTTTGAGAAACACCCCTAAAATTTTTTCGGAGTGCGTGGCTAACGCCACGCACCTTCATTCGAAAAAAATTTTTGTCGCGCCCCCCTCCCCGAGCGGAAATCCTGGGTACGCCACTGATATATATATATATATATATATATATATATATATACAGGGTGTCCCAAAAGTATGTATCGAACGTTTGATCGTTAATATCTCTCTTCCCAAGAAGTCTTTTGCCTTGCTTCAAGTACCATTTTGTAGAGCTGGCTTAAACTTAGATTTGCATTAAAGAACGAATCACCCATCTCTCTTCATTACTGTAGGATTACGGTAGAAACTTGAAACATATGGTGTCAATGTGGAAAAAGCTGCAGTTCCAAAATTCTTCAAAAAATTGTGAAAACTTGTGTAATAGGGTTTTTATGGATGCTGAGTTCAATACTCAACTATTCACAAGATTACAAGCTTTCTAAACGGTGTAATCGCACTTTTTAGGAACATTGAAAAAATGGCCGCTACCTCTTACCTGGCATAACTCCTCAATGAAGCATCATAATAAGTTGGGAACTTTACAGTTATAATCAGCAACTCTAATTAGCCTAGTGTGAAAACTTTCAGGCTGTTTTATTTCCTTTCTAAGGCAAAATATGGCCTTTCATTGCTTAAAACCCTCTTTGAAGTTTCTACCGTAATCCTACAGTAGTGAAGAGAAATGAGTGATTCGTTCTATAATGCAAATCTAAGTGGAAGCTAGCTCTACAAAATGGTACTTGAAGCAAGGCAAGAGACTTCTTGGGAAGAGAGATATTAACGATCAAACGTTCGATACATACTTTTGGGACACCCTGTATATATATATACATATATGAATGGATTTGCGAATGCGATATCCTATCGCACCGCATCGACTAAGTCCATTTTATTCGCACGAAAAGCCCTTTTCGCGGGGACTTTCGTGGTTATCATCAAAGACTAAAAAAATTTTCTGTTTTCTACACTTTCGTTCGAAGCCGAAACCCTCCATCTATTTACGAGATGTGTCTGTTCATTTTTGCAAAATTCGACCAATTATCATCAATGCTATCTCCATAGGCGAAAGTGGACGACCGCCCAATGTGCGCATTAATGAGCATTTAGCTAGTAAGAGAATAGATAGTGTCGTGAGAGAGCCTAGAAAGTGTCCTACTAAAATGGAAGGCCCACTTCTCATTATCTGCTGTGGGCATGTCCTGCTAAAATGGAAGGCCCACTTCTCATTATCTGCTGTGGGCAGTCGTAGAGCAAACTGATTCCTACTACGTCTTCATTGAGAATGCTTGATAAGTTGGTCAAAATGGGAGCTTGACCAAGGCCACGATAGATGAGTCCGATTCCGAAATGGAGGAGGTGTCTTACTTTCTACATCAAGTGATTAAAGGTGATCAACCCGCAGAAACACTGAGCATTTCAAGTGTTTCCATAAAACCTGCTACGCTTTCGAGAATCGGTATGCAAACGTCTGCAGTCTCACATTTGACTTTTTAATCAATTCAATTCGACTAGCTAAAACTTTTTTCGAGCCATTCCGTTTCCCAGCTTTCTCAAGCCCACTGTTACATAGGTAAGCTTGCACTGGCTTCGCTTGTCAAAAGCTCCGGCATTTCACGGAGCACAGTGGAGCAAAGCAGAGTGAATGAGATCTGAGCAGTAACTTCCGTGTTTTCATTACGGATGTGAGGCGTTTTGATCTGGATGTCATGTTATAAAAGCCAGGCATCGTCGGATCGGCCACATTTCGAGAAGAAAAGAGGATCCAAAGACATTAGAGTTGATACTTCGTAAGCGGAATGTCAAACTAGAGGTGTGGTTGACGCAAGCTAGAGGACAGACTAGAAGGGAGTGGAAGAAGCTGTGCTTCATTCGTACGAGGATGGCAACCAACACAAGGTGAGCAATGCTTTTGCCTTGGATAAGTGGAATACGGTTGTAATCACGCGAATTTCATCAGGACTTTGAGGTATTCAAATGTTTGCAACGATTTGTTAAGAGGTCTTGGGTGTACCAAAGGAAATTATTATTGCCTGCTGGGATACTTTAAGACAAGTGACAAGAGTCAACTGAGAAGACTTTTGGGCCATCTCTGTTGAAGTTTGTGAGCGGACTGGCTTCACGCTGGCACGTCGTCGAAAGTACAAATCTATAGGATGTAGATTCTGTTGCAGCATAGATGTATTGATCATCTTTTAAACTGCTGCTGCAAAGCACGATTGCAGACATTATGTATTTGTTAACGATGTTGTAAGCTTTTGCAATAAATCATTTATCGAGCATCTAATAAAGTGCACCTCGAGAACAATTGATGGTGTTCCCCAGCGTGCTTCTCAAACTAAAATATTTGCATTTTATAAACAATTAGTTGTTGCATGATTCAAAACATACTCATGCGATACTCCAGAGTAGCCATCACCATTCCCATCGATCGATAGAGAATGACGGGAACTGTGTCAGTTTTTGAAACGAACACTTTGTCCTCTCCACCTTGTTTTGTGCAGAATCTAAAGGTAAATGGATAGGGAGCAATTATGGCAGTACATATCAGTAAAGCACAAACCTGTAACCCGTTAGGAGCTGATCTTTCTGAAGTTTGATTTCTACTCCCGCAAAAACGCAGCCACTGTCGGATGTAACTTCAGCGACGGCATCTTTAAGTCTTATCTCTATCTTTCTGCCTTTGTCAGCCTAAACCTCGCAATAAAAAGCCAAGTTTTTCTTTAGAATTGTAGTCAACAAACCTTGATCCAAAAAGTGCACTTTGTAAAATCATCTGAGTCCTCACCACTTTCTCCAAAATCTTGCTCCAGAGTTTGTACTTTACTTTTAGCTCTATAAACTTCACCACATCCAGATGGCTGAAGATAACAAATTGCAGGAGACCTTGACTGATATTTTTCGATAAATCAACCTTTTCATCACATAGACGGCCTCCGTATCCATCGGGACAAATACATTTGAACAGTCGCGTGGATTGGGGTAGCCACCCATCTTACATTTCGCTGAGGAGGCGGACTTGCACTTATCTGGTGAAAACATGGACTTCTATTGCTGCAACCTTATAGAACCAATTCTGCATACTTCCTCGAGCATTTGAAGGTAAAATCAGGAAGTGTTTTATTAGGGGGGGGGGGACGTTACACAACAGTACGCTGCAGCCTTTGTGTGGGATGCAGTGCGCGCACTCTGCTGATGCTCCTACTCAATTTATTTGCTTAGGCAAAAGCTGCGACTGTGTAGAAGACAGTATGTCGCCGATAGGCTTCACGTGCCCGGACAGCTGGCCCAAGCTGGAATATGTAGAAGTGCTTGGATTGCAGATGTCCTCGCGGACCTCTCCTTTCGTCGACATAGTGTTCCTCCACCCCGCGAGTGTGTATATATGTGTGTCGGCTGCGGTCCTGCATGGAAATTTTGAAAATGCCCGACAACACTGCCCTACATCTCATGCCGCGTATTCTGGACAAAACATCACTTCTGGCATATAGTAATCCGTTAAGTAAGTGGTATTTATCAACTACATTCTTTCTCTCTTAGAAAAAGCAGCTTTTCCCCTGAATTACGACTCGTGGTATAAAGAGAGGGGTTGCGAAAAACTCACCCAGACATCCGTAATGTTTGTTCATGAGAAGTATATCATAGAATGATAGCATTTGCGATCCCATAGTGTCTTGATAATCTTCGTCTTTTGGTATCAACGTAGGCTTCGACCGGTCCTTCGCAAACCTGAAAGTTTCGACATACTTGATACCAGGAGGAGGACTACAGCCGCCACTTACGCGTGTGACGAGTAGTGCATTATACTGCCGTAGTCGTAAGGTACCCCATAATTGTCACTGGTCTTTTTAGTCTCTAGGTTGAAATCGGTATTCAGCTGCTCATCCTGAATTTTCCTCTTTATATCACAACACACTTGCGGCAAGAGTTCAAACTTACAGGAATGTTATTCACATTGAGCGTGATGTAGCTGTCACGATCATATCTTGACTGAACGTGAAACAAACCAAGAGTGTGAGCGAGTTCGTGAACGGCTGTTCCCACCTAGGTGAACTTCAGTTAGAAAAGTCTTTCACAACATAGCCCCATGAGGTGATACATAGTGGCATCCTTCACCGCCCAAAGAGAGTTCTTGTACTGTGTGTTGGTTACCAACGAGGGAGTGGCATCCGTTTCCCTCGAAAAATTCAACTCGCTCACGCGCTGCAATGCCGATGATTTTGTGAGGATATTATTGATGCTGCTCTATACCCTTAGCATCTTCAATCATGTCAATGCATGTGTTGTCGTGCATAATTTAGCTCCTTTTCTAGCGATAGCCTTCATTTTAGGGTTTCCTGCAATGAAATTTTGCTCTCATCTGCTCTAGAGCGGGTGACTACTTACTTGCATCAGAGCGGAAAGAATAACGAAGGCCGTATGACCACTTGCTGTTTGCTTCTATTTTTGCTTGGCGCTTTTCCCGATCCTCTTCCGAGATTAGTTCATTAGCTTGCTCTCTGCAGTAACGTGATTACATTTGTGACACGTTTTTTGAACAGCCAAAATTTACTCTGTCAGCACTATATCTCCTTGGTACAGAAGGTCCGCCATTCCGGCTCTCTCATTTACCTCCTCAATCGTAATACCTACTGCATTACGTGTGACATTGGCGGGTCTCAACTTCTAAACAACTCAACCTTGTGGTTATTGTCTAAGACAACTCATGTTTGCGCTTACCTTCAACCTCTGCGTTAAGAAAGCTTCCTGCTGCTTATTCAGTTTTGGTGCTTTCATATACTTATTCAATCTCTCGCGTATTCGCAAAAGACCATCAACATTGAGGTGCTTAAAAACTGCGCCTAGATCAAACCAGTCTTTTCAGACTTACCGATTTTAATTTGGCCAGCGTTTTCTTTAGCCTGTCTTTTGACTTCCATTCGAGCAAGCAAGTACTGACGCCGACGAGTACAAGTAAAAGTAAAAAAGATTTCATCCTAAAGAACAGCTCTTAAAATGATGCGATGCTGTAGTGAGGACGAAGACTGTATGCTTTACACGTCTATACAACGCTTATATATGGATACTCCGCTCTTATGCTTCACTATCCCCAGTCGATGACATCATTGGAAAAAAAATTCCATGTAGAACGATGGCAGCTATCAGTACATCGAGCTGTTCTTTGTCATGGTAGCGATGTTTGCATAGGACGGAGGTCCCTCTAAAGAATCTCTACAGGCACAAAAAAAGCTTCCTTTGCGAAACGGCAGCTACATGTACAATTAGCTCCCATAGTTGCAAATTTTCGAAAAACGAAAAACGATTTTCTTTTACGGCGATTATGAATGTTCAATTCGTAAATCGTCTAAATCAACGCCCTATAGCATCACATGATTTGGAGGATTGTCTCTTAGAATAAATCTTTCCTTCTTCCTTCACTCATCGACATTAGTACCGGTTTGCTCGACTGGAGTCAATAACGTTATAAAAAAGCTTTTCATCTAGAACGATGGCAGCTATGAGTACATCCGGAGCGACCGTTTGGATGTACACATAACTGCTCTTCAGCAAAGGAAGCTTTTTTTTGTAGCTGTGGCATGATAGCGATGTTTGCATAAGACGAAGGTCCCTCCAAAGAAACTATTTGCATGCACAGTTACAGAAAAAGCTTCTCTGCTGAACGGCAGTTATGTGTACATCCAAAACGGTCGTGCGTCAGCTCCGGATGTACTCATAGCTGCCATCGTTCTAGATGAAAAGCTTTTTTTATAACGTTATTGACTCCAGTCGAGCAATCCGGTACTAATGTCGATGAGTGAAGGAAGAAGGAAAGATTTATTCTAAGAGACAATCCTCCAAATCATGTGATGCTATAGGGCGTTGATTTAGACGATTTACGAATTGAACATTCATAATCGCCGTAAAAGAAAATCGTTTTTCGTTTTTCGAAAATTTGCAACTATGGGAGCTAATTGTACATGTAGTTGCCGTTTCGCAAAGGAAGCTTTTTTTGTGCCTGTAGAGATTCTTTAGAGGGGCCTCCGTCCTATGCAAACATCGCTACCATGACAAAGAACAGCTCGATGTACTGATAGCTGCCATCGTTCTACATGGAATTTTTTTCCAATGATGTCATCGACTGGGGATAGTGAAGCATAAGAGCGAGTATCCATATATAAGCGTTGTATAGACGTGTAAAGCATACAGTCTTCGTCCTCACTACAGCATCGCATTATTTTAAGAGCTGTTCTTTAGGATGAAATCTTTTTTACTTTTACTTGTACTCGTCGGCGTCAGTACTTGCTTGCTCGAATGGAAGTCAAAAGACAGGCTAAAGAAAACGCTGGCCAAATTAAAATCGGTAAGTCTGAAAAGATTGGTTTGATCTAGGCGCAGTTTTTAAGCACCTCAATGTTGATGGTCTTTTGCGAATACGCGAGAGATTGAATAAGTATATGAAAGCACCAAAACTGAATAAGCAGCAGGAAGCTTTCTTAACGCAGAGGTTGAAGGTAAGCGCAAACATGAGTTGTCTAAGACAATAACCACAAGGTTGAGTTGTTTAGAAGTTGAGACCCGCCAATGTCACACGTAATGCAGTAGGTATTACGATTGAGGAAGTAAATGAGAGAGCCGGAATGGCGGACCTTCTGTACCAAGGAGATATAGTGCTGACAGAGTAAATTTTGGCTGTTCAAAAAACGTGTCACAAATGTAATCACGTTACTGCAGAGAGCAAGCTAATGAACTAATCTCGGAAGAGGATCGGGAAAAGCGCCAAGCAAAAATAGGAGCAAACAGCAAGTGGTCATACGGCCTTCATTATTCTTTCCGCTCTGATGCAAGTAAGTAGTCACCCGCTCTAGAGCAGATGAGAGCAAAATTTCATTGCAGGAAACCCTAAATGAAGGCTATCGCTAGAAAAGGAGCTAAATTATGGCACGACAACACATGCATTGACATGATTGAAGATGCTAAGGGTATAGAGCAGCATCAATAATATCCTCACAAAATCATCGGCATTGCAGCGCGTGAGCGAGTTGAATTTTTCGAGGGAAACGGATGCCACTCCCTCGTTGGTAACCAACACACAGTACAAGAACTCTCTTTGGGCGGTGAAGGATGCCACTATGTATCACCTCATGGGGCTATGTTGTGAAAGACTTTTCTAACTGAAGTTCACCTAGGTGGGAACAGCCGTTCACGAACTCGCTCACACTCTTGGTTTGTTTCACGTTCAGTCAAGATATGATCGTGACAGCTACATCACGCTCAATGTGAATAACATTCCTGTAAGTTTGAACTCTTGCCGCAAGTGTGTTGTGATATAAAGAGGAAAATTCAGGATGAGCAGCTGAATACCGATTTCAACCTAGAGACTAAAAAGACCAGTGACAATTATGGGGTACCTTACGACTACGGCAGTATAATGCACTACTCGTCACACGCGTACGTTTCGACATACTTGATACCAGGAGGAGGACTACAGCCGCGTAAGTGGCGGCTGTAGTCCTCCTCCTGGTATCAAGTATGTCGAAACTTTCAGGTTTGCGAAGGACCTGGTCGAAGCCTACGTTGATACCAAAAGACGAAGATTATCAAGACACTATGGGATCGCAAATGCTATCATTCTATGATATACTTCTCATAAACAAACATTACGGATGTCTGGGTGAGTTTTTCGCAACCCCTCTCTTTATACCACGAGTCGTAATTCAGGGGAAAAGCTGCTTTTTCTAAGAGAGAAAGAATGTAGTTGATAAATACCACTTACTTAACGGATTACTATATGCCAGAAGTGATGTTTTGTCCAGAATACGCGGCATGAGATGTAGGGCAGTGTTGTCGGGCATTTTCAAAATTTCCATGCAGGACCGCAGCCGACACACATATATACACACTCGCGGGGTGGAGGAACACTATGTCGACGAAAGGAGAGGTCCGCGAGGACATCTGCAATCCAAGCACTTCTACATATTCCAGCTTGGGCCAGCTGTCCGGGCACGTGAAGCCTATGCGACATACTGTCTTCTACACAGTCGCAGCTTTTGCTTAAGCAAATAAATTGAGTAGGAGCATCAGCAGAGTGCGCGCACTGTTGTGTAACGTCCCCCCCCCCCTCCCTAATAAAACACTTCCTGATTTTACCTTCAAATGCTCGAGGAAGTATGCAGAATTGGTTCTATAAGGTTGCAGCAATAGAAGTCCATGTTTTCACCAGATAAGTGCAAGTCCGCCTCCTCAGCGAAATGTAAGATGGGTGGCTACCCCAATCCACGCGACTGTTCCAAATGTATTTGTCCCGATGGATACGGAGGCCGTCTATGTGATGAAAAGGTTGGTTTACCGAAAAAAAACAGTCAAGGTCTCCTGCAATTTGTTATCTTTAGCCATCTGGATGTGGTAAAGTTTATAGAGCTAAAAGTAAAGTACAAATTCTGGAGCAAGATTTTGGAGAAAGTGGTGAGGAGTCAGATGATTTTACAAAGTGCACTTTTTGGATCAAGGTTTGTTGACTACAATTCTAAAGAAAAAACTTGGCTTTTATTGCGAGGTTTAGGCTGACAAAGGCAGAAAGATAGAGATGAGACTTAAAGATGCCGTCGCTGAAGTTACATCCGACAGTGGCTGCGTTTTTTGCGGGAGTAGAAATCAAACTTTAGAAAGATCAGCTCCTAACGGGTTACAGGTTTGTGCTTTACTGATATGTACTGCCATAATTGCTCCCTATCCATTTACCTTTAGATTCTGCACAAACAAGGTGGAGAGGACAAAGTGTTCGTTTCAAAAACTGACACAGTTCCCGTCATTCTCTATCGATCGATGGGAATGGTGATGGCTACTCTGGAGTATCGCATGAGTATGTTTTGAATCATGCAACAACTAATTGTTTATAAAATGCAAATATTTTAGTTTGAGAAGCACGCTGGGGAACACCATCAATTGTTCTCGAGGTGCACTTTATTAGATGCTCGATAAATGATTTATTGCAAGAGCTTACAACATCGTTAACAAATACATAATGTCTGCAATCGTGCTTTGCAGCAGCAGTTTAAAAGATGATCAATACATCTATGCTGCAACAGAATCTACATCCCTATAGATTTGTACTTTCGACGACGTGCCAGCGTGAAGCCAGTCCGCTCACAAACTTCAACAGAGATGGCCCAAAAGTCTTCTCAGTTGACTCTTGTCACTTGTCTTAAAGTATCCCAGCAGGCAATAATAATTTCCTTTGGTACACCCAAGACCTCCTAACAAATCGTTGCAAACATTTGAATACCTCAAAGTCCTGATGAAATTCGCGTGATTACAACCGTATTTCACTTATCCAAGGCAAAAGCATTGCTCACCTTGTGTTGGTTGCCATCCTCGTACGAATGAAGCACAGCTTCTTCCACTCCCTTCTAGTCTGTCCTCTAGCTTGCGTCAACCACACCTCTAGTTTGACATTCCGCTTACGAAGTATCAACTCTAATGTCTTTGGATCCTCTTTTCTTCTCGAAATACTGCGCAATTTTTTGTGGCGTGGAGTAATAAGTTTGCCCCCCCCCCTCCCCCCCCCATGCCGTACCACTGCACTGTAATACCGGAGAATTTTCGGTACTTTTCCGTTATCCGGACCCATTTTTACAAAATCCTCTCATACTATACGTTCTTTAGTCTAAGAATAATTTTTCATAAAATCTACGGTGGCTGCCTTCTTGCCACGTTTAAGAAAAAATGGACTTGTTTTGGTTGATTTTGACATGTTTTTTTTTTTGAAATCATTTCCGATGAGATAAAAAAGAATTTGTGATCATTTTGAAGCTGTTCGACTGTTCTGCATAAGAGCAAACAATCATGAACTTATTTTAGAACATCTTGCTTGCTTTCAGCAATGATCAAAAATGTCCTTCTCTTCAAACCATTTTCACCATGCGAATTTAGCCAGAAAATGCTATAAATGATAGCTTAAAGCACTTTGCTGCTCTTATTTCGTTTCCTAAATGACGGAATCCTAGCGAATTTCTCTATTCTGAGCAAGCTAGACTGTTCATCGATAATAGTATATCGTCAATACTATGACAATGTTCATTTTGAAACTGCTTGATCGAAATGAGGTCAAAATTTATTAAAAAACAGACTGCTACATCGCTAGGTAGGATAACACAAACTCTTGGTAAAACCTGTTAAACATGTATATCGTCGTCTCCCTGGCGTGCGTTGGGCGGAGCATCTCAAACATCTGACCACGTTGGTGAACTAGTTAGACCTCTACTACAAGACATTGTTTTCTGTAATCTCTCGCTGCCAACTCTGCCACGTATGACAAGCATATATACGTGGCAGTTTAGAGAGTACAGAGAACCATACTTTGCAGTATAGATTTGACAAGTCACCAACGCGTTCAGATGTCTGCAAATGCTCCGCCTAACGTACACTGAGGAGGCAACGATACCGTAGGCATTTTATGAGATTTTTCCAGTGTAAGAATGAAATTTTAGAGGATATGTTCTGGAATGAGAAGAACCCAGAACACTCATTAGAAGAGCTTGTGTAAAGGTTTTGAACTGTTTCTAGGTTGATCACACAACCCAGTTAGGCGAATTGCAGACTTAAAGAGTAATAACGTGCCGATATCGAAGACACGCCCAAAATGTTCCAGTTGGCATATGAGCTTACGAAATGTGGCACCGTCCCAAAAGCCTACGAAATTTGGCTTGCGATCTTACCAAATTTGGCATCGTCAGACAAACGTACGAAATTCGGCATCGTGCCAAGTACTTCATCATGATCTCTTCGCCTGCCGTCTCCTCATTTGCCTTGTTCCATGGATCTGGAGGAGCGAAGTGGTAAACAAGAAATCGTTTTATATTACGTAGTGACTAGCGACTCTACGGGTCGCTAACAAGTGGGTTAGGAAAGAGCAATATTAGTTTTAGTTGTGACTAAAAATATCTCTACATAAATTTTCTACTCCTTTCTGAGAACATTTCTGTGAAAAACCATTTCATAAAGGAGAACTGCTTGAGGAGCGGTAAACTTCACAAATCATTCAGCATTTCTCGAAAGCCCTGCCATGAGCTTGCGAGATTATGGGAAAATCTCTTTTCAATTACCACGCTTTTCCCAACCAGCCCCCCTCCCACCACCCGTTTCTTATGGGCACTCATTCAGATAATGAAAAGACTCCACCCTACTATCATCTTGAGAACTTTGTTAATCATACCTCTCAACAAATTCCATGAAGAGCATTAGGAAATCAATAAAATACACATAATTTTGGAAGTAGCAGGACATCCATAACAATGGTGTATACAACAAACAACATAGCTTGTCTCTCAAAACCAATTTTGACAGCAACAAAATCATTGTCTCAAAACTTGTCAAAAAGTCCTCCAAGTTAGGATTTCATTAAATTGAATGAAATCTTACTACGAAAAGAGACCTCAGCCCCAGAACCATGACTACCGGATTCTCTTGCACTATTTTGTCACAATATTCGGCAAGCTCTATGTAAATGTAACCAATTGATATTTTTCGAGCGACAAAATTTTTTTGCGACGAACACATGCTCTACGTACCGCTTATAGGATCGCTCCTCCAAGCTATAAGTATTGAGATTTCATAGTGTTGCAATATTAAACCCTCCAAATAAACTATCAGTGAATTTTGGAGTGAAAAAGCGCATTTGAAAGGCCTAAAATCCACTCTAAGTCTTCCGAACCCTGCCCACTTACACGTAGTTTTGAGCGAGCGCGGATTTGGAGAGCCCCGAAAAGGGCTCATTCTAGTCATTTTCTTGCGCGGAGAAGCTCAGGCATGGTTTTCGCATGACCAAAAGGTTTGAAAAGGTAGAAAACCGAGAAGTGAAATTTTGCCAGGACGCTGCCCTCAATTAACATATTTATAAGAAAAAACTATCTTACTGCTCTTATAGAACAAAGGCGAAGTCAAGCATTTACTCACATATCCTCAAATTGCCCTACGTGCCACCTAAGGACCGTCATCTATACTGCCCAATCAAAATACCCTACGTGCCGCTTATATAGCGATGTCTGTTTAGAAAATGCTCTACGTGCCGCCTAAAGACCCGTATTCATAAGGAAAAACTGCCTACGATTCCCGAGAAAAAACGGTGAAATGAGTATTTATTCACAACATTATTCATTTTCAAATTGCTCTACCTGTCACCCGGGAAGGAACTGCCCGAAGGTACAAAAATCTGTTTCCCTAGCTAATCAAATGACCTACGTGCGATTATAGAGATGTCTATACGAAAGAAGTGGAATCAGAATCCTAAATCTTTCCTAACTCGTTTTCAATCTTCTACCATACATTTTCATTCAATAATCTTCGACAAGCCATTTCCTCTTTCTCGCACTTCAATTGGCTGAAATGTACAACGTGCTGCTCCTACATTAGCAAACCTCGAAATGGACGTATAAAACGTATTTTATAATTTTCCGACAAACTGCAGGTGACCTAGTAATAGGGAAATCGTCATTTTTGCTAAGAAAATACACTTTCTTGAAACAACAATTTCAGAAGGATAGAAAGGCACACTGTGAAAATTCTCCAAAGCCTTAAAAGTGTTTTCCTCATTGCAGTGAACTGTAAGTTCCGACCAATTCGACAATGACGATGGAAAAATATCTAGATTGTATAAAGACTATAGACTGTAAAGGCATTGTATAACAATGCCTTTAGTCTTTTTCAATCCGGAGTAGGCGAAACATTCCAAGTGGAGCAGCGCGTCCGCAACCGTCACGAGCTCAGGGGAGAGGGACTTTCATACGATCAGCTTAGACAATCGGTGCCATAGCTCCGGAGGACAGTCGAAATCTGGCAGAGCTGCGGAGGGGCCCAATCAGGGCCCGGCACGAGGTGGACAGACGGTGTTTTCCAAAACGAATTCCCCTTTGGCCCCAATAGTTTTCACGAATACCCCCTTGAGCCCAAAAGTGACGCTTTGTGCTTGTGGAACGAGAGCACCGGCCACACTTCGCCTAAAAGCGCTCAAAAGCGCCCAAAATGCTCAAATTCCTCTAATTACTCCTCACCTGTATCAAGATAGAAAACAGGAAGAAGAATAAGCAAGGAAAATGATGAAGGAATGAAAAAATATCAAAGGGGAATTCGTTTTGGAAAACACCGTCTGTCCACCTCGTGCCGGGCCCTGATTGGGCCCTCCGCAGCTCTGCCAGATTTCGACTGTCCTCCGGAGCTATGGCACCGATTGTCTAAGCTGATCGTATGAAAGTCCCTCTCCCCTGAGCTCGTGACGGTGCGGACGCGCTGCTCCACTTGGAATGTTTCGCCTACTCCGGATTGAAAAAGACTATAAAGGCATTGTTATACAATGCCTTTACAGTCTATAGTCTTTATACAATCTAGATATTTTTCCATCGTCATTGTCGAATTGGTCGGAACTTACAGTTCACTGCAATGAGGAAAACACTTTTAAGGCTTTGGAGAATTTTCACAGTGTGCCTTTCTATCCTTCTGAAATTGTTGTTTCAAGAAAGTGTATTTTCTTAGCAAAAATGACGATTTCCCTATTACTAGGTCACCTGCAGTTTGTCGGAAAATTATAAAATACGTTTTATACGTCCATTTCGAGGTTTGCTAATGTAGGAGCAGCACGTTGTACATTTCAGCCAATTGAAGTGCGAGAAAGAGGAAATGGCTTGTCGAAGATTATTGAATGAAAATGTATGGTAGAAGATTGAAAACGAGTTAGGAAAGATTTAGGATTCTGATTCCACTTCTTTCGTATAGACATCTCTATAATCGCACGTAGGTCATTTGATTAGCTAGGGAAACAGATTTTTGTACCTTCGGGCAGTTCTTCCCGGGGTGACAGGTAGAGCAATTTGAAAATGAAT